GCTTCGGTTCGTTTCATAGACTGTATAAAAAACTTTTAGCTACTTTTTTATTTACTACGGGTTTTATTCTTCGTTTTTGTGAGTTTCTTTGTTTGAACTCGTAAATCTTTATCATACACTGAAAGCTCATAACTGTTTCATACTCTGTACACTATTATAAATACCATTACTTTACTTTACGTGTAGTTTTATTAAATAAAGTTATGTCTGACCGCGTAACATGTTTTCCAATAGACCAGGATTTATAGATCTAACACATAATGTCTGCAAGAAAACATAGCTTAAATGGCGTGCGTGAAAATGATGGAATAAGGAAAATTCAAGCAAAGGGCGTGAAAACTACCACAAATGTTTTGCGAGTCGTGGCTAGTAAGTTTATAATACATTCGGAATTGAACATACATTTATAATAAGCTACGAGTGTAACATAAGTTTGTAAGATGTGTATTACCTCTGTAGCCACTGTTTACCGTACTTTGGCCTTATTAGATTCTACTCAGAAATTCTAATTATTTTTCTGGTTTAACTTTTACTTATATAATGATATTCTTTAACGTGTATTAAGTGTATTATTTGTTTTTACACATAGGTTGTTTGCAGCGAAGTGCACGGGATGTTTGCAACCGATAGCACCCAACGAGCTGGTAATGCGGGCCCTGGACTACGTATACCACATCTCCTGTTTCATATGTGTTGGCTGTGGTCGCCAATTGCAGAAGGGTGACCAGTTTGTAATCCGAAATGGCCGACTTTACTGCAGACCAGATTTTGAGAAGGAAATGGCGATGATTCAGCTTGTACAGAGAAGTAATAATTACGTTTTACTTCCTACTGTAAGATAATGTAAAATCATTTATAACACGAACGACCATGGCGTTGAAAACGTGGTCCTTATAATGATCGTGTGATTTTTTTATGCATAACAAGGGCTTTCATTAACATCATGGTGAACATTAAACACTAAACTTTATATAAAAATTTAAGGTGAAATTTTAAACAAAACTTTTGTTAATAAGCGGTGGTACTTCAATCAGACTTGGTTAAAGGTTTTGTTACATAGAGTTAACATTTAATCCGTCATTTATAGTTAACATTTAATCCGCCGTTTACAGTTAACATTTAATACGCCGTTTATAGTTAACATTGAATCCGCCGTTTATAGTTAACATTTAATCCGCCATTTATAGTTAATATTTAATACGCCGTTTATAGTTAACATTTAATACGCCGTTTATAGTTAACATTGAATCCGCCGTTTATAGTTAATATTTAATACACCATTTATAGTTAATATTTAATCCGTCATTTATAGTTAACATTGAATCCGCCGTTTATAGTTAATACACCATTTATATTTAACATTTAATCCGTCATTTATAGTTAACATTGAATCCGCCGTTTATAGTTAATATTTAATACACCATTTATAGTTAATATTTAATCCGTCATTTATAGTTAACATTGAATCCGCCGTTTATAGTTAATACACCATTTATATTTAACATTTAATCCGTCATTTATAGTTAACATTGAATCCGCCGTTTATAGTTAATATTTAATACACCATTTATAGTTAATATTTAATACGTCATTTTCAGTCGTCATTTCGTCAAAATCAACATTAACGTTTATCATAAAGCTAACTGCAATTTAAATAAATAAATAAATAAATAAAATCAAACATTTTGAAATGTTAACGAAGATAGCAGAAAATCTAACAGTTCTGAAATGTTAACAAAGGTGGAAAATGTAAACAACTCTGACATCTTAAAGAAAATTGAAAATGTTACAGTTTTGAAATGTTAACAAAATTGAAAAATGTAACATCGTTCTTCATTGTTTCCAAGTATGAAAAATCTAACAGTTCTGAAATTTAACAAAACTGGAGAATCTAACAGTACTGCAATTTTAACAAAACTGGAGAATCTAACAGTTCTGAAATTTAACAAAACTGGAGAATCTCACAGTTCTGAAATTTTAACAAAACTGGAGAATGTAACAGTTCTGAAATTTTAACAAAACTGGAGAATCTAACAGTTCTGAAATCTCAACAAAACTGGAGAATCTAACAGTTCTGAAATTTTAACAAAACTGGAGAATCTAACAGTTCTGAAATTTTAACAAAACTAGAGAATCTAACAGTTCTGGAATCTCAACAAAAGTGGATAATCTAACAGTTCTTAAACCTAAATAAAGTTGTAAGTTCAAAATATTAAAGATATCTATGTGATTTTAAAGTCCTTTTTAACTTAAATCAGTTCTTAAAGAAAAGCTGAGGAATGTAATTTTTCAGCGTGTTATTTTGAAGAGTTTGAATGTGCCTTACAGATTTTTTTTCAAAAGTATTTTTCTCTTAACATGACATCTCTTTTCTGCGCCAAAATTAATCACTGTCTTTTGTAGTGGCGCGGTTATTAAATTTCTCTGGTTCTCCAAGGACCTCGCGGGAAAGACCTCCTCCTATCGCCAGTCCAACAAGGAGGAATATCGATCAGTTTACAGAGCTTGAAACACGAGGCTTAGTTTTATTAGTTTTTTTTTGTGTGTATAATGAAAACAAAAACTTCTTTTGCTGAAGAGAGAGAGAGAGAGAAGAAGGTTAAACAGGACTTTTACTGTGTACTTCCTTTATTTGTTCTAAATATATTAATTGTCACTCTAAATGTAAGAATTACAGACCTCGTCCTTGACAATATATAAAAAAATAATATAAATACGGATTAAATTTTGGGTATTTGTTTTACTACCTAAGCTACATCCATACCATTCTCAATAGAAAAATCGTCTCTGCTGTAATACCTTCTCATCTGTTGGGGATAGTGTTCTATTTACGTTA